CTGAGAGGAGGGCACAGTTTGCTGTGAGGATGGCACAGTTTGCTGTGAGGTGGGGGAACAGTTTGCTATGAAGAGGGGACAGCTTGCTCTGAAGAGGGGACAGATTGCTATGAAGAGGGGGCCAGTTTGCTGTGAGGAGGGGGCCAGTTTGCTGTGAGGAGGGGACAATTTGCTATGAGGGATAGTTTGCTGTGAGGGGATAGTTTACCATAAGGAGGGTACAGTTTGGCCAAACTCTCGTGGAAGCCTACCTTCTGGTACTGTTGACTGGTAGACGACACACTGGCCAGCTCCCTCTCCAATTCTGCCACTCTCTGCCTGGAGGCCTGCAGACGACTTGACAGATTGTCCGCCTCGCCTGGTGACAGGTGGAAGAACAGAACGGGAAAATGACACTTTCTTGATCTCGGCTAGATTCTCTTTATAGGAAATACAAAAACAACTGCCAAATGTTTACTACAGATGAACTCTGGGAGGTCACTGGACATTCCCAAAGGCCCTCTTCAATGGTGGAAATGATTGCATTGGGCTTTGTTCGGCAAAACTGCAGCAGAACACTGTACGTACAGTAGTTATTGCAGTGCTCCTTTCTCCATTAAAGGGGGCCATCATCATGTTTGTCCAGCAATAGTTTAACCATGGCCATCAGATTTTTTTCTGTATGAAGTGATTTGAAATTCTGTAAAAATAACCATGGACTGATGTTTTGGATTTGGTGGAATCTTGCAGAAAGATGTAACAAGGATAAAATATCAGGATTCCCAATTTTTAGAGGTAAAATTTTTACAGAACATTTTCACCCCAATTCAAACTCCAGAGGCACTTTCTTTTGCAATGAGCTCTCTAGAAGCCTCCGTAATCCACCAAAGTGCAGAAAAAACAATGACATACTTCATTACTTTTTGTCAACTTTTTGTCAGAATGCATCACTGCCTTATGCAAACCAACAGCGGGAAAACTTTACCTTCCTCACTCCTACAAAATCCAACAGAAACCATCTGAAGGATTCTGATGGATCTGGAGGGGTTAGGGATCTACCGTTCCGGCTCTCACCTGCTTTCTGCTTTAGGCTCTGCTGGCTCTGTGCCAAAGCACTCTGGAGGTCCGACTTCTCCGAGACCAGGATGCCGATGGTCTGGATGTGAACCTGCAACTGCTCCCTCAGGGTGCTCTGTTCTTTGAACAGTCGCTGCTCCGACTCTTTGCGCTCCTGTTGCAGACCGACAGACAATCCACATAGCAACATTACCAATGTAGAATTCTAACTTCCACAGGCGCAATACACACTGTATTGTCTTCCATGACCTGAACAGCAGAACTTCACAAGTCTGCATGGGTGGGACTCGAACCCATGTCCACCCACTTACTAGTCCAGACAGAATACCCTCTCGACTACCAAGATCATCAAAGTCGCATAACAGACTCAAACCTAATGCACTGAAAGCTGTTTAAAATCCATATGATATTCATTCTAATCTTGTTATTAGAATTACACGTGCTTCAGGACAAAATGAATCGTCTCACCTTTTGCAACTGATCCTGAAGTTTCTCGCTGTGACTCCTCTGAAACAAATACAGCCAAAAAGAATACTCATTTCTCATATGATTCCTTCAAGAAAGACTTTCCAACTTTCCTCCAACTGCAGTTCAGTTCTGCGACGTTCCTCCATCAAAACATGTGCAAAAGTCTCCACATTTTTAACCCTTGCTCTGCCAGATCGGACAAAATGCTTCAGTCTGTGTCCCTGAGAACACAAATCGTGTCATGCACTCCCAATGTCTACCATATTTTATTAACAAGATTAGCTGCCGCGAACTCTGAAAACTGTCAAGACTAAAGATGGTTCAATGGCAATCCTCTGATGTGCACATGGATGTTTCCTCACTGTCATGTGAGACATCTTCAAATCTCTCTAGTTGTGGAGTTTTTTCTAATGATTTTTCCCATTATCAAATGTACTCGGGGTGGAAGGTTTTGGCACTTCTGACTGGCAGATACTATGTGTTAAAAAAGGGGGATGGGGAAATTGTACTCATTCTGATGAAAATTTGACAAGTTATTACTCTCACCAGCTCTTCGACATGCAGCTGCAACTGTTGGTTGGAGAGTGCATGTTCATCCCGGTCAGCTGCTAGTTCCTGATTCCTGACCTGAAATCCAAATTTTGGGAAATGGATTTATAACTTGATGACAGTTTAATCCTCTCATAAATGCTTTCAAGTAGCTACAAAAATCCATTGGGAAGTTTGGCAGATTTTAAAGGATTCTGAAGGACTGAGAAAAGCTAAAAAAATTAATCAGCACTTTAGATGGGTCTTGGCGTCCCTGGAAAGTAACAGCATTGGTTTCTAATACAGTGAAAGATTTTTGATGATTAAAATTGGAATTTGCAAGTCAACTGCAAGAAAGGGATGTTAGCTTAATTCTATAAGCCATCATCCTATCTTAAATTCTACAGAACAAAGATAAAGGCACCTTCTTTTGTCAAGGCTTTCTCACCTCAAGCTCATTAAGTCCAAGTCTGGTCCTGGTATCCACTGCATCTTCCTCAAGTCCATTTAAGTACTCAGCCTACAACAGAATGTAGGTATTCACAGAATACTTTTCAGACTTAAATAAAAAACTGAAATCTGGTTTAATAAATATTTTTTCTTCAAAATGGGTTTAGGGGGTATCCCCGGATTTTGCTACTGGAAGTTGTCAATTAATAAAAGTAGATGCAGGTTTGAATTTATATAAATATTACTTTTTTTTTAATTCCTGAAAAAATATAGAAAAACAGTCGATGGATTGTCGGCGTTTCAACATTATAACTTGAAGTATGAGGGACACTCTTACCTCTGAGACGAGCCCATTAACTTGCATTGACAACTGGCGTAGACTCTCTGTGGAAGACAGCGGCCTGTGGGGGGGTCATTGAAATGCACAATATGAATGGACACGCTCAAAAGAATGGTATCTTGGGGTTGTCAAATCAAACTTGTACATCCTAACACGCTGTCACTATCTCCAACGGGGCAGGAACAGAGCATGGTGTTTTTTTTACACTGTGACGACTCCCCCCCCCCCGTCCCTTTTTGGTGGATTGTCACAGGTTCATGTGTACTTGGTATGGGCTCCACTGAGCACTCACGGCCAATTATTGTGTCAATTAACATTCTGTGTGTGCTGGGCACGAGTGAGGCATGAGCCCAGTTGAAAAATCCCCTCCAGCTTGTCTCCTCTCTGCCGGTGAGGGGGCTACTCAGAGCAGATGCCACATGTGGCAAGCTCAACACTTGGGGGGGCGACAACAGGTGGTCGAGTGGTTAAGATTTCTGACTCATGACCAGAGGGACACGGGTTCCAATCCAGCTGCTGGCAATAAGTCTTGACCTTGGAAAAGCCAATTCACACTTTTTGCCTGTCTCCACCCAGGAGTACGAATGGGTACCGTCAACAGCTGGGGAACAACCTGCGATGGAGTGGCATCCAGTCCAGGGTGAATAAACACATTTATTCTGGGTCATTTTGTGCCAAGGGAGGTGAAAGATAAACACAAGCCTGATGGTACAAACGGCTAGGAACAGACTTACTTGCAACCTGGACTTCAGCGATTTCTTCGCAACCAGTGGCGTAGCGAAGGCATTTTCTGGGGGGGGGTGTGTGCCAGGGTCAATTTGCCGACTGGTCGATGTACGTCAATAATTCATGATGTCTCAAATTTCAGTTTCATTTGAGGACTGACCCTTTATTTGCCGACTGATAAGAATTATTGGGGGTGCAACATCCCCCCTCGCTATACCGCTGTTTGCAACATTCTCACCCACTGATAACAGGCATCACCACTTCATCCGTACATACAGTGCATATCTTTGCCCAGCTCCCACAAGCAACACGGTCACCCCAGGAGCATTATAAGTTCCTTAACCCTAACCGCCAAGCATATTGTTTGGATTACAGTACTTAGTACTACAAAATACTAAGTAGCAACCTGAGCCTGAAGGACCTAGCGCTACAGATTACTACTTCTGGCTAGGTTACTTCCATTGTTACTTGAACAGAGAACAATAAAGCCATGCATTCATAGTGCCACAGCACTGTGTGGTACATTGTCTTATCTATTATATTTTATGGCTTCAGAGAACAATACGGTCATGTCCTCTTACAAGCAGCAGCACTGATTACTACATTTTAGTACAAGTAGTAATTTGTGGTATTATGTAGGGTTAGGGTTAAAAAACTCACTCTCTTGTTCAAAAAATGAGCCCCAAACATTATGCACCGTACCTGACATCTGCTGCACTGGCAGATGGTGAAATAGCTGGTTGGTAACTACTGTTTAATACCTAGGAGCAGGAAGAGAGCGAAAAACGACCAAAAGGTTTAAGTTATTGGTTATTCTACAAAATGAACAAAATGTGAAGAACTGAAAAAGCACTTAGATCTGTGAACCAGTCAGTTGGTTTGGAATACTAGGGCCAGACTAGGAAGATCATCCTTATAGCTCTTGATGCAGTTTGTCGCGTGGCTTTGTCTAAATCGACTGGCTGTGGATTGGAGGTAATACACATGTTTATGGGAAGCAGTCCCAGCTGCTAGCCTGTGTACATAGTATTTCTGGCTTCAGCTTTTGAATGCGAGTTAAGGGAAACCTTGTTTCCTAAGATCTCCATACCAATTCCTAGGTATTTATAAGTGGACATGGTGCATTGTGACGGAATGCCTCTTGCTTGTCTTCACTGATGCGATCAGAAGTGCCCTCTGCTGTTTGTGCACAAAGCCAACAGAGATGGAGAACGGAAACAAAATGTTACAGATCCTTTTTTTTTTGGCACCCAGTACCCTATCTAAGGATGTCGTTGGCTGGTAGCCCTAATCCCCGTAGGGAGTATGTACAATCATATTGAAATTAAAGGGCCGACTACTGTTAGCACATGCTACTTTTTTCAACAAGGAGGGTACTGAAACGCAGCACAGGACAGCATAATAAGTGCAGGTTGATTGCAACCAAGAAAGCAGCAAGATCAAAGACTGTTGCACAAGCAAAATCTATCCCATTAAAGCTTGAAGAAAATAGAGACGAACAGCATCCTTCAGACTGGGCAATGGGTGCTTTACCCTGTTGGCTGGGTTTGGGTGACCCGAGCTGCTGGCGCTCAAACTTTGCCGAGGGCTGTGCCTAGTGGCTGGGGTGTGACTGTGACTTCCCTGGGCGGCCCTGGGCGGTGTGGAAGGAGGAGGGCAGGCCTTGCTGGGCTGGCTATTTGTCAGTGGTGTAGTGGGCGTGGAGACCGGGTTGTCTGCCTTCCGGGTCTTAGCAGGGACAGGAGAGTTCGCTGGGGTACGCTTCTGTTGGAACCGTTGGAGCTTTTTTGAAAGAAAACAAGTGAGCAAGTGGATGTTAAAAGGTCATGAAGCTTAAATTTGCATAAAACGAAGATTCTAGCCGAATGTCTTCTCTAAAATTTAGGAGGAGGAGAAATTACACTTCAAAAGTTGGCCAAAAAATGAGTGCCCCAACTTAACTGTCCATTTCTAATCAATTTACGAACACTACGAGTCAGTCTAAAACAATTCTTCATTTGTTTGCTAAATATTTGAAACAATGACTAAAATACCGAGGCTGGGAAATTCCATACATGCACATTACAAGTGCACATAACAAATTCTTATCTACAGTGATGTTTCAGCCATTAGCAAGTGATAACGCATCACAAAGCATCAAATTTAACATGGAAAACATTGAAACATTTGCCTGAAAAATGCAGAATTTTTCAGACCAGTCTCATAGGGTTTGTGCAAAAGTTGCTGAGTGATGTCCGTGCATGAAATTGTTTCCTAGGGGTTAGGAATGAATATCTGTAGGCTACCAGCATTCAACATGACCAACATGACCAAGCCTCAAACTTCAAAGCTTACTATACTACTTAAAACAAGTAAATAAATATGAACAGGTAGAGTTTTTTGCAGCTGTATGAATGAATAGAAGTAGGCCTAGGATCGTATTTGTTCCTGTATTTCTGGAGCGAGGTAGGCTTCAGCGCGAAAACGTCTACCCGTCATGATTATTCCCGTAAGTAATGCCGGTGAAATGTGACGTGGAACCTTGTTGAGTCAGTCGGTGAACTAGCCTACGTTAAAGGGCATGATGTACATGTACATGTACAGTACACAACGCGTACACGACGCGACGTACGACCATCCCACTTTTCGATACATTACCGACCCTTCTGCAACATAATCAGAAACTGCCTCGACCATATAACATCCCTCAACGAAAAAACATAACCCTCCAACCTAAGCAAAGAGAAAATAAATCAGGACAGAAGAAGGAGAAGAGGGAAAGAAACCTTTTTTCTAGCGGCAGCAAGTTTCTTCTCACGGTCTTCATCGGCCATCTTGGATACAATGGATAAATTTTCTAGCTCCTAAAAATTTGTGCGATGTGCACATTGCCCACCAGACGACTGTTTCCATTTGAGGCATTAATTTACCATCGACATCCCTATCTTCAAATTTAAGGCATTGAAATGTTTAAGTCTTTAATCATCTACGTCAAACGTGTTTCATAGATTTAACCATATACGCCATTTCTTCAGTTCGGACCCACATTAAGATGCAATCAAAAGATAGCAGCACGTCTGAATACACTTTCTGTGCTGTAACAGCCGTTTAGCAACTGCCTGTATTAGTTTTTAGAAAGCTGGATAGTATTTGAAAGACACGTTTGCAAGTCCCCATGATGCATCAGCCGTGCAAAAAAAATCCGACTAACTTGGCATGCAGCTCCTGAGAACTATTGGTTTTTTGTGTGGAAAAATTATAAAACTGAGTTGGGCTGCATTTAAACAATTTCTTTCAAGACCCCTGGTAAGTACGGGAATCATTGACGAAATGAGGCTGGCCAATTAGAACTCAATATCCAAAAAGGCCCGTCAGTAAACAATCATCCCATGAAAAGTAAACTAAATTGATAATTAAAAAACCTTTAAATATCGCAGAAAAAAACGCAACTGAGACAAATGTCGAAATACTATAAACATTTAAACGCATCATCACGACACACAATTAATATTAATTGTCTGGCTGTATTTACTTTCACTCGTGGGCTTATATACACAGTGATACGCACATAAGTTCCATTTCTATAATCTCAATCATAAAGTAAACTCAAGTTTTACACTAAATCAACATGATCAAATTATTTTTAGCAACTATTTCACTACTTATATTTACATACAATAGTTTAATATGAACATAGAAAGCTGGGAAAGCCAATGAAGAATGTAGGTCTTATAAACCGACACTACGGACAGGCTTTTTATAAAACAACGGGTCAACAGAATTGGTAAACTTCTGACCTTTTCTTACCCCGAGGCCCTCCTCCCATTAACTATATACTGAACATACACCCTCGAAAGAAAGCTATGAGGAGTGTTGAGTCATAAACAAGTGAGACCTCGAGGTGTAATGGCCCCGTGTCCCTAAAGCTTCTCAACCATATTATTTTACACGAGCCCTGCTTGCAGATGAAAAATTAATGGCCTCATGCATCAAGGACACGTGGAGAGCGTTTGGACGCAATGGCTACCTGGTCATTCCTGACAGCCGTCAGCACGGGAAGACCATTCATTAAGACATCATTCATAAAAATGAAAAAGAGCAACCATCGAGGAAAATGTCTACCCAACCGGAAAAAAACAGTCTGGGAGATCCAGTCCGGGAGATGCAAGAGCAGCTTAAAATGTCCACCCTTATTAAAATCAAATTCTCTTCATAATGTCGAAGAGCTACCCCCCTAATTATTTGGCATTGCGTTGGGCTAACTTTAAGCCGTGGAATTTGAGGAGGAAATAAAACCTTTAAAGCATTTTTCTTTAACATATTGTATTTTTTTCTTTGCAAAAGTTTTATTTCTCGCGTGCGCGTACACGGTGACGTGGCACGTGGAGGAAAAATTCTCCAGTATCCGTGATTTCAGAATCCAACTAAATCTTATCAGATTCCCCGTTGCAAACCCCCCTTTCCCAAGATTTCTCACAACCACCTCAGCCTCCAGTATAAAGCCACGAATGGCAGAATCCCTGGCTTCTTTGACAAGGTGCTATTCTGAGTAACGCGACGAGGTACAATATAGTCGGTGCACGCATGTATCCTATGGTTATGATGAGTGCCAGTTATGACTGTATCTACGACTTCGGATCTGTCTTTATTGTGACCGCTCACTAAATTAAATCAGCTTACGCAGAACACCTTCAAATAAACGCCATTCGATCATCTTGTTTCTCATCGCAGGTTTTTTCTATGGGGAAATTAACCATGAAATTCTTGAGTAGTGTTTTCCACCGACAGACAAAATAATGAGGGTCAGCTCATTTATTTTTTTTTCTTGAACTAGAAAAAGTTATTTGGTTGTTTAAATAGATAGCCGAATGTCTGACTTACTTAATGTAGTGCACAAGTTTAACGTTTCAACTAACAAGCGTTATCTCAGATAGCGCCTTCCCCGGCCTCCCAATCGGAATTTCCTGTTCCGCGGTCTGCCTCAGCTGATTAGCCAAAGCGTTTTGGATTATGCAAACATCGTCACATAGGACGCCGACTCTAGAGTCTGCAGTGTGAATTGAATTCATGCGTCTACATGTACATGTACTGTACATGTACATGTACATGTACATTGTACAATGTACAAGTACATGTACAGGTACGGTACAGGTTAGCGCAGCGTGGACGTACGGGAAAATGTAATTACCAAAGCTAACCCCACCCCCGTTCAGTTGAGGACGCCCCCATTATGAATATTCATCACTGACGTCTTTTCAACCACAATATCCCGCTGTGTTGATAAGCTAAGTGCGGGGGGATCGCATTATTTTATATAACGCTCTATTTCCTCAGCCCCTCGCTATTCGACGACTGGCAGTTCTCACTCTATCTGCAATTCCGGTCTTTGTCTTGTGGTTGGACAAAATCTCTTATCCTATAAAACTGGTTTATATTGTAGGGGGAACAAAGAAAAGGTCAATCTAACCTACAACACTCAAAGATTCAGCAAAACAAAGCAACTTACAAAAATATTACAAAATATATATATTGTAAAAAAGACTGATATTGTGTACATACAAACGAATGTACGTTACATACTGTTATGCAAGTCATACATTAACCATTTGGTTACTTAAAATCAGAAAAATTCATTGGAAACAGGTATGTCCTCACTTTTTGGCAACAAAATTAGGTCAAAGTAGATGCTTGCAAGTACTCTGATGACAATACCGGAATTAAGAGTATTAAAGTGTCTTTTACCAGAAAAATAATCAGCCCTTAACTGCAGGATCTGAATTAAAAAAAATTTAATACCCCAAAGTGATAAGTTGACCAATAGCTACCCTTTTATCACAGGAACATGACAATCCCCTTTTGGCGACCACCCTTCGTCCTAACAATCAACTAAACATGACTTCCCTTGTTTGTCAAAACAAATCTGCATACTTGTCATTATTTGTTTTGACGCAGTGTTGTAGTCAAAGCCATCACAAGACCATTCGCAACACCAGGCACAAGACCAGTCACAAGACCAGTCGCAAGACCAGTCGCAAGACCAGTCACAA